TCATTTGACTTTTCTTCCGCTGTCGATATAACCGATAACGATCGCAGATGTACTTCCACCCTACATACATTAGCAATAGAAGAATCGCCAGTGTAAAGAGAATTATAGTTATGACTCTAACAACACGTTGTGTTGCATTAACGGCCGCTCGGATTATAGACGCCGAAGTCTGAAAGAAATGGGGTGCTTGTTTATCCAAATCCGTGGCTAAACGATGTCCTTCTACAGCAAATCCTTGTGCAGTGTCGTCTAAGAAATTTCTTCCAAATTCTTGTCCAGCTTGAGTCATAGCATGTTCGAGCAGATCAATACGACATGCTTGATGAGATAATAGACCTGCGCTTGTTCGAAGTCCGGCAAGATTATTGTGATAAAGAAGAGGAGCTGTAAAGGGAATACGATATATATCAAATAGTGATTAATGGTTTTTGTTAAAAATAGATTAAAGACCAACTGCATAACTATGCGCAGTACCCCTTTCCCTGGTTCAAACTTTAATCGCCCTACCCCCACTGAACTTTTGATCTTTGTTCCCTGGGGTATAAAAGCACTCCTTACCATTACCGACCTCCTCCACCGACTCCTTCTACCGACCATTATTACCGACCTTCACTGCGACTTACTGGTAATCATCAATATTCCTATTCTGGGGAGCTTCGGCTCCCCAGAGCCTCACCTACCTTTGTATTTTACATTTCCACTCTACTATGTATAATAAACGTGTATATAAAACACGGCGTGTCACTTATGCACACACACACACGCATGCCTACCCACCGGGTACTCACTAGTCCAAATAAAATAACAATTAGGGTCGGGATATGGAGCCGGATGCAAAAGGCTCTCCTTTAACACTGAGTTTGAAAACAATAAGCAGAAGCTTAATTATTACGAAATTATCCACGGCAAAAACATAACATTGAGGTTTAGTTTTACTTACATCCTATTGAGTTAGGATATTGAATAATAGGGGCACCATGACTGTTATCTGTCCATCAGCGT